ACACCACAACATGTATCTTAAACATGCTCTGGAGCAATTTCACTTAAAAAGGAGCAATACAGAAGGACAAAGGTCACATCTTAGAGTTATAATAAGATGAGAGACTCATATGCAGAGTAACACTGCTATGAAGTGAAAGAAGCCCAAAAAGACACACCCAAAACACAGATGAAAACTGTGGCTTAACTTCCAGGCAAACTAACACGAGACAGGCCTAGGAAGTGAACAATCGCACCAGGTACGTACGTTCCTTAGAACGATCGATCGTGGGAGATCAGAGGGCAGTATTCGCACAAGGAGGTAACTCAGAGGGCAGGAATGCCCAGGAAAGAAGGACACAGTGAAGAGGTTAAACAAAAAGAAAGAAAACTCACTTTTTATTTCAAAATAGCTAGAAGAATTATAGAAATTACACACGATATCAAAAAGCAGCCTAAATCAGAGTGAGGAGAAATTCAGAAATGAGGTCACAGGACTCAAGGGATTAGAAAGAAAAGAGAAACGTTATTTCAGAAATGGAAGACGGTGGAAGGGATACAAAAGTCAAGAACCTTTCCCATAACAGCTTACGGATAAATAAGGTGAAAGAGAGGAAATGTTTACAAATCAAAAAGAAATGAAGAGAAATAAAAAGGAATCAAGAAAAGGAGACAAATACTGAAGATAAGCAAAGACCCAGCTTACAGATAATTGGAGGCGCCAAAGAAGAAAATCAAAACACACACTGAAGTCTTCCGCTAGAACACTTTCTGAAAAAAAATAATTTAGAAAACATTTTAAAAGAGCCTGCTGTATATCTGAAAATGCCGGCCCAGAATGACCACATCAAAGCGTAATCAGGTAGTAAAGTCATTAAGAAGAAAAGTCTCTGAACATCTAGGTAAAAAAAAAAGCATGTGGTATCTAAGGAAAAAAAACAATGTTATTAACATTGAGCTTTTTGTCAGCAACACTTTATGCCAAAAAAATGAAAAACAGAGTAACATGTCCAAGATACACAAAAAATAAAAAAGAGCCAAAGATATTTCTAGGAAAACTAACTTCCAATTGTAAAGGCAGCAGACCGACACTGCTCTCAACATGTAAGAATTCAGGAAAGGCTGTTCCCATGAGCCCCTCCCTAGGAATTGACTAGAGAACAAGCTTCAGACAACTCAGACAATTGAAATGACTAGAGAGCCATCAAAGAAGAACCAGCGCTTTGCAGGCTGGATGCTAAGAAGTCCCCAGTGTGGGCACTATGCTGCCTGCTCTGGGCCTGCATGCCTGCACTACTGTGTGCCAGAATCAAACCCAGTGCGACCGACAGCAAAGAGGACATCCCAGCCTTCAGCCAGCTCACCAAGGCAACTGCGAAGAGCAAAGATTCAACACGTGATTAGCAGGCTGTCACCAACGTTGGAAAACGCTCAATGGACTGGGTATGTCTATGAAAGCCTGCCCTTCTTCAAGAAAAGTAAAGCTCCAAGGAGAAAAGAAAAGCAAGAGAAGAGAAAAGAAAGAAGGGGAGGGAAGGATATAGGCACTGGGACACAGCAAAATGAGTGCAGCTGTAAAAGCAACAGAGTCAGAAACAGAGATGGAGCAAAGAGCTGGGAGGACAAGTGGCCACTGACACCTTCCTAAGGTCTCCAAGGACACCCACAGTGCCCACGCACAAGAGATGGCAGAAACAGCAAGCTGTGCTACGTCTGAACTGCACACAGGGACTTTACAGGAGAACAAAACACACACACACACACACACACTTTACAGGAGATCAAAACACACACACACACCAGGAACATGAATCCCATCCCACAGAACATGTGTTTTCCAGATGAAACACTTACACCTGTTATTTCCACGGTCAGGAACTGAGTAGATTAACGTAGGAGACTACTTCACAGGAATGTGGAAGTTACTTCTTAACTCTGGGATGGGAAAAGCCAATGACTGACACTTCAGTCGTAAGAGGAAAGATGGGTGAATTCCTATGTATGTAACCAAAACTGCAGCATGACCAGGACAAACCAACCAACAGAAGTGCCACAGACAAACGACCAACTGACAAACAACTGGGAAAAATGCTCGGTCCTGAGTCACAGGCAAAGCACCAATGGAAATTAGTCAGAAGAAGACCAACAGTCCAGTGTAACACTGACAAAGGCCATAAACAGATAGTTCAAAACACATACAATTCAAAAGGCTCCTAAACACACAGGAAGCCACTTCACTCATAAGATGAGAAATGCCACCAATACCAAGACCAATCCAGCTGCCCCATCCTTGGGGTTTTATCCTGTAGACACCATCTGCACAGTCCAGTCTTACTCACTCAATGCTGTTTATAAAATTGGAAACCATCTAAATGACTAGGGGACTAGTTAAACCACAGTACGTCATGGCAGAATATTAAATAGTTGTGAAAAATAATAAGAAAGTCTTATTAAATGAAAGAGCAAGGTACAAAACAGTATGAATGGCACACAATCTTTTATGAAGAAAAGGGAAGAAGAAACTACCTCTTCCTAACTGCTTACCTACACCTCACCCTAACTGCTTACCTACACCTCAGGATCTGAAAGGACAGAACAGAACAGACAGCAGTGGTCACCTCTGTCAGATGGTGGAGGGACTGGACAGACGAGGTACACGGTACAAGGAAGTCACTGTAGCTTTGTACACTTTTGCATATACATACATATGCATATATGTGTATATACACACACAGATACTTTTTTTGACTTTAAGCCACATGGCTGCATTACTTATTCAAAAAAACAAATTAAATGCACAGCCACACATACATCCTCAAATGATGAATCCAAACTAAAAACCCAACCAGCCACCAGGGAGTTGACGCCACTCAGGGCACTCCAAGGGTTTCCAATAGCTGAGTTGTTTGGAATCAGGTCCCCAGTCCTTTCTTCCAAGGCACCTCTGGTGAGTTTGAACCTCCAACCTTTGGGTTAGCCACTGAGTGCCTACCTCTTTGTGCCACCCCACGACTTCCTCCAGTAACTAGTGCTCCGAAATCTCAGCTCAGCAGAGGCATCAGCACCAAGCATCCATGGCTCTGGGACACAGGCATTCTATGCTGTGGGTCCCTGAGTCACTCTGCCTGTGCCCTCTCTGGTGGCAGGGCCTGGCCGACTCACCGAGCCATCCTCGAGCGCTCGGCGCAACTCCGGCAGGTCTGCCTCCGGGCACCAGACCTCAGCGATGAGGCACTTGTTGGTCACGTCGAAGCTGCACATGTTCAGCATGTGGTAGATGGCCTTCATCTTCTTCACCTGGACCACGCGGCTGTACACTGACTCGGCCGCTTTACAGAGCACCTGCCTCAGGTAATCCTCGGTTTTGTGCAGCACCTTGGTGAGCACAGACTGCTTTCAGCGCATTTCTCACTGTTTGTCCACCTGGCACCCTGACTTCCTCTGAGCGAACTACCTTCCACTGTTCTAGGCCCCTGCACCCAGTGGTTCCTTCCCCTCCCCACTCAGATGCTCTCCCTCGGGAGGGTGAATCTTAAGAGCATGTCTTCTAGGATACAGGAAATGACCGGAAGTCATCGCCACTGTGGGGCAGGATGGCTAGCTGTCCCCATCATGAGAGAGTGGCTGTGCTTCCTGACTCCAAAGGGCTCTGTGGCTTCTTGTCCCCTCCCAAGCTTGGCCCAACTCCCGTCAGCCCTCTGAGCCACCAACTCCCAGCCCATCCCGTTTTTCCAATAAATTCCCTTTTGCTGAACTGAGTCAGAATCTGTTTCTGTAACTCGCCCCCAAGTATTCTAATTGAGAAAAGCAGAAATGTCAATTAAAATAGGGTCTGTATAATAACATTCGCCTTTTGAGATGGGACTTGGTTGTCTTTGTGATCAAGAATTCCCACCCAACGTAGCAAGATGATCAGGGAATCTTTTTTCAGTCCCATGAGAACGACCTAGCTTTCTAACAGGCTGCTAAAATAAACTGCCATGAAGAGGAAGGAGGGGAATGACATTGCAGTGTCACCAAGAACACCTTCATCTGATGACCACCCGAGTCTTCCACATTAAAAAGAACCAGAATAAACGGACTCTCGCGTGTTCGCGAGCCGTGGGTGAGCAGTGGAGTTTCTGGCTTACTCACGGTGTAAAGATCTTGAATCCGGGTGTTGAGCCCCTCCTGGATCTCCCTCCGCTCCTCCGCGGTGTTTGGGTAGGGGTAAATGTGGCAGTGGTAACTAGAGGACAGAATTAAGCACAGTGTCACGTCTGTGGTGACTCAAAGAGGCTATTTCTAAAACTAGAACCAAATTCAATTTACCATCTAGACGGCGCTTCTTCCAAATGGAATACAGACAGCAGCCATGGGCAGACAGGGTGCGTTACAGGCCCCTGCCCTAGGCAGGTCGCCACACAGGCACTCAGTGAGTACTGGTTCAAACACATTCAGCAAGCTCTCCAGATCCCAACTCCAGCCCTGCCCCCAGAAATTCCTGGAAGCTCCCACTTCCACCTTTAGGAAATCCTCCAGCACCTCGGCTGTAGGAAATCGGCCAGCACCCAGGGCTGGGAGTCACTTGCTGCTGGGCGCCGAGTCGGTTCTGACCCCTATCGACCTGCCGTGACGGGTGGAAGGACCCCATGACGTAATCTTTCTGAGGGCAGGTCCTCAGGTCTCCCTCCCGTGGAGCCACTGGGTAGGTTCGAACTGCTGACCCTTGGCAGGCAGCCCAGTGCTTAACCACTGCACCACCAGGCTCCCCGGGATTCCCTGAACAGGTTTAAAACAAAAACCATGCGAGAATAAGCATCTTAAAAAAAGTGAAGAAAGGGAACAAAAACTCTGGTCTTCCAACAACCGCCTCTAACAGGTCTCCGCCACAGCTGGCACCACCCCATAGGGCAGGGCTGTCCCACGGGGCAGCGCCATCCCATGGGGCCAGGGCCATCCCACAGGACCAGAATTGTCTCAGGGGCAGCACTGTCCCACAGGCCCACGGCCATCCCCCGGGGCCAGCACCGTCTCAGGGGTCAGGACACCCAGGACACACTGGGGAACACCGTGCCTCCCCACCTTTAATATCTGAATACCACACGTCAGGTGTTTCTCTAAGTGCTGACTCTGAACCATCAAACATCCAGTGCAGCTCTACGCTAAGCAGTGATGCCTAGGAAATCACGGATTGGTTGTGCTGGTTATGGTTCTAATCCGTCTACAAACACCTACGTACTGAGATGACAAAGCTGTTCCAGTTCACACCTAAAGTCCCTTTCCACACCACCAGTGATGGAGTAGCAAACTTTGGTAAATACGATCCAAAGGAAACACCCACGCCCTGCCCCCCCACAAAACCAAGGCTATCTACAAGAGTGTGCCCCAGGGTTTTTGTTTACTTTTCCATTTGTTGGCAACAGGAAGTCACAGATGGATCCCTGCTGTGCCACTACCCAACATGCCCCGACACCTTACTCTGTCCTAAATCCTCTCACCTGCAACATCTCAGTGAGGACAACCCTGTGGGAAAGGACCCCGACTCCCCTTTCCAATGGTGACTATGCTTGGTGTTGTGTCCCAGGGAAAGCAGGCTCTGTACCCCGCAGTCCCATGTCAGCGCCCACCCCCCATGCCATGGTTTGAAAGAGAAAATGCCAAGTGCTGGGCTAAAGCAGAACAGGTGCTCAATAACCACAGTCAGCATGACGTCGCTAAGAGCAAACAAAAGGCACACAACAATCAAATACGATTCCCTCTCCAACTGATCTTAAGTCTTGATTCCAAAGGGGAAAAAAATTAAACCCAGGAATATAATTACATGGTCCCGACTTCTGAATTATTTTAAATAATGTGCTGACAAAAGAGATGGCAGATCAGATTTTTAAGAACTTAATATTATAACAGAGAAATCTGTAACAAAAACTAGCAGTCTTTCCACCTACTATAAACCAAAACCAAACTCATTGCCGTGGAGTCGGACCTGACTCATAGCAACCCCTCCTTGGGTTTCTGAGGCGGTATCACTAAGGAAGTAGATAGCCCAACCTTCCTTCTGAGGAGTGGCTGGTGGGTTTGAACCGCCAGACAGAATTCTGGTTAGCAGTCAGGTGCCTTAGGCACTACAGAGGGATACGTAAGGACACTAGAGGTTACAGAAGGAGATCTGGTCCAACAATGGTTAAGCACTTGGCTGCTAACCAAAAGGTCACTGGCTCAAGCCTACCCGCTGCTCCATGGCAGGAAAGACCTACATACAGATTTCAGCCTTGGAACCACCATGGGGCAGTTCTACCCTGTTACATGAGGTCACTCCTCATCAGAATTGACTTGACAGCACACAACAAAAGGTTACTGGATATAAAAAAATAAATGATAAAAAATAAAATTAGTGTTTCTTTTCTTACCAATCACATATCTTCTTAACCTTGTAGCCAATCTGCTCGCCCCAAAAGGATATTAAAAACACATACCATTTTATGACTTCTCCCTACAAAGAACAAATCAGGACAGTGTTACTTCTGACAGTACCATTTCTCAAACTCTGGTAGCACCAATACTGTCCAGTGTTGGTTCAGTCCCTCATTCAGCAAATATTAACAAATATTCAATCAATACAACTGAACAGGTTTTTGCCTATGAGGCAGGTACTGCTGGGTGCAGGGGAGACAGCAATGAACCAAACACCTAAGAAACCCCTGATCTGGGGAAAGGGGAGATATTATAGTCAAGTTGGAAGCAACAGATACAAACAAATAAAATATATACTATGCCAGGTGGCAACAAGTGCTATGCAGAAAAGAAAGCTGGGAGGAGAAGCCGGGGTGAGAGGGGCTAGCCGCTGCAGGTGCAGAGAGCATGATGAGGGAGGCCTTGTTGGTAACATGCCACTTGAGCCTGAAGGCCGAAGGCAGGGAGGGACAGCTGTGGGTACAAAGAGTGGAAAAACAAGAAAGGTAAGGCATTGACAAGGAACTTGACCTCAGGAATTCCTTAACAGGTTTAAAACTAGTACTATTTCAAGGAATACAAACAACTCAGACACAAGATGGACCAGAGACAGCACACAACATGAAAAACACAATCATAAGGCCAAGTGGAATTGCCTGAGTCTAGTTTGTGGCCATAGTGGCACAGTGGTGAAGCACTCAGCTGTAAACTGAAAGGTTGGTGGTTCAAGCACAGCCAGGCACTCTGTGGAACAAAAGGCCTGGTGACCTGTTCCCATAAATATTACAGCCTGGGAAACACCATGGGGCAGTTCTACTCTGTCACTGTGAGCTGGAACTGACTCGACAGTACCCAGAGACAAACAAGTTTCTATGCAGAGAGAGGGAAGCAACTACAAGGACACTGTGGGCTGTGGAGTCCATAATGACTTTGAGTGGTAACATGTTCGGGCCAAAAGGCGCTAAACCTGGCACTCACTACAAAAAAGTCCCAGGACCCAAGTGTTGCTGTTGTTCAGTGCTGTCGAGTCATCTCCGACCCACAGCGACTTTATGTAAAACAAAACAAAGCACTGCCTGGTCCTGTGCCAGCCTCACAATCCCTACTATACCTGAGCCAGGACCCACGTGAAAAGTCCTAACACCTCCTCCTCACCCCCCGAGCAAGGGCTAAACCATACACACTGATGTAGCAGCGGCACTTTGGGTGGGAGGGTGCCAGGGGAGCGAGCCATTTTCTCCCTCACGTGTCCTACAAAAGCACATGGATTTCCTTGGCAAGAAGCCCTGGTAGCACAGTGCTTAAGAGCTCGGCTGCTGACCAAAAGGTCACCAGTTTGAATCCGCCAGTCCCTCTGCAAAAGAAAGATGAGATCATCTCCTTCTGAAAAGGTGACAGCCTTGGTGACCCTACGAGGCAGTTCTACTCTGTCCTGGAGGCCTGCTAGGAGTCAGAGTTAACCCAATGACAACAGATTTTTTTTTTTTTAATTTCCTTTGCAATCAGGAGGGAAAAGCTGTATTTTCAAAATTAACACATCTCTATCTATTCATTGCTCTGTATTTCTTTACGAATCCTGACTGTCTTTCACTACAGCCTGTAAAAAGTATGAGAGAGATTAGAAATTCTATGCAAAAAAAATTGTTTTAAACCTGTGTAAATAACTCTGCATGGAAACACCACAAAGGAATGTGTAGCTGTCAATCTGGAGCAGCTGTCAGCTTAGCTGTAACCTCCGGCTTTACACAGAGAAGTCACGATGGCCGTAAGGCAGAGATGATTAAGACAGTCCTGGCAGTTACAAGAACCACAGGAAAGCAGAAAATGTGAGAGGTGTGTGGTTAACAGACAGCTGAACGGAGGCGAGATGGTAGCACATGTGGTTTTCGCAGGCTGAACTTTGTGAAACTCATGTCACAGCAGCCTCTGTACGTGCCTAATCTACTAAGGGGCAGAGTCATCTTGTAGCCAAAATTCCTGAGGCAAATCTAGACAAAATAAACCGTGGAGCCTTTTCTCACAATGAAGAAGCCTAAGTTCCTTTTCTGGCTCTGGTGGATCTGTGCGCCTTCCGTCAGAGCAATACAGCAATCCGTACCATAAAACATGAAAACACTCTGAAGGATCAGCGCGTCCTCCCTTGCAGCCATGCGCTGACCTGTACTGTGAAGCACAAACACACTGCATTTCATAAAGGGGTCATGATGCTCTCCCACCCGTGCTCCTCTGAGTCCCTTCTTGAGCAACCCAGGCCTAAAGCTGCAAGGTGGGTACACAGGGGTGGACGCAGAGCAGGAAGAGTAACAGGGGCCCAAGGCAGATGTCAGAGCCCGAGCAGGGTGAGGAGGGCACCCACGTCGGGGAGGGGGTCCCAGGGCAGGCGTCAGAGCCCGAGCAGGGTGAGGAGGGCACCCGTGCAGGGAGTGGCCCAGAGAGGGGTGAGGAGAGCCTTCCTGGAGGGAAAGCGCTGACAGGGGGTGACAGCCTGGAGTGAGGTTCTCAAAGCCCAAACAGGAGGAGACATCCACATGAGGGAATAGCCAGGCCCATGGTGTCAGAGTCCCAGAGGGTGAGAAGTCCATCCACGCCAGGGGCCACCCAGAATGGAGAACTGAGAACTTGAGCAGCAGACGGCAGCGCAGCAGGGATAGGAGACAGGTGGCGGAGAGCGATTACAGGCGGGGGACTCATCAAAGAAACAAATACATTAAGAGTGGGAGCCAAGCTCCCGGGGTTGAAGGAAAGGAAAAGTCTCGAATGAATTCCACCACGGTGGTCTGGAACTGGACGTGAGCTCACAGCTTTCAACATACATCAGGTGGGTATAGAAATAAAGTTGTGAATGTGTGTATGTGTGTACCTCCGTATGAGTGCATGTCTGTGTGTGCACGTGTGTCTGTCTATACACCTCACACAGCTGTCTGATGAGAAGCCTGGGAGCAGCAACACCAGTTACAACAGACACACCCAGCAACCACATCTTGGCTTCTGAACAGCAGTCTCCCTCGGCTAGAAGAACCGAGCTCCCGGGGAAACAGCTGATTCCAAGCTGTGTGAGGGAAATCCCAAGAGGAATCTGGAACACTGTGTTGCAGTGCTTAAAAAAACACGGTAGAAACACATAGAAAGGATAAGAGAGATTGAATGGGCTCCAACTGGTGGACTCCAGGAGAAGTGGAGTCAGAATAAGGAAGAACAGTGACAGAGTAAAACCCATTGAATAAAACAGGAAATGATGAATGGAGAATTTGACAAAGAGCAGGACAGTGACACAGTTTCAAAGCACTTGCCCCCAAATTCTTACTAATGACAAGAAGAAAAGAGTAGCTTCAAAAGGAAGAGTCTGATGAATCCATTAATCAAGATCAAGGTGAAGGTCACCAGTCACAGCTAAGCTGAAATCCGACACCACTAGACAGGATGTAGTGTGAGGGACACAGCACCCTTTCTGGGATGTTCCCGCCCAAGACACATGACCAGGACCGAGGCACGAGGAAGCATCGGACAAACCCAAACTGAGGGGCATTCTACCAAAAACCTGGCCCATAATATTCAAAAGTGTCAAGGCTGTGAAAGCCAAGGAAAGGCTGAGAAAGAGTCCTAGAATGACGGACCCAAAGAGACAATGAAATCCAACATGTGATCCTATACACACATTCAATGGAAGACATGACTGGGGCAAGTGGTGACGCCCAAATGGGATCTGAGTATCAGACAGTAGTGACACCTAATGTGCTAATGTCCTGATTTTGATGTCTGCATTGTGATAAAGCAGCAGCCCTGGTGGCATAGTGACTAAAGCGCTCAGCTGCCACCTGCAAGGTTGGCAGTTCAAACCCACCAGCTGCTCCACAGGAGAAAGCTGTAGCAACCTGCTTCCATAAAGAAGACAGCCTTGGAAACCCTGTGGGGCAGTTTTACTCTATTCTATAGGGTCACTGTGAGTTGGAATCAACTCAGTAGTGGGTTTGGGGTTTTTTTCTATTGTGATGATGAAGGAGAACGTCCTTGTTTTTAGGAACTGCACATGGACAAATTCTGGAATGACAGGGCACCAGGTTACCAACACTCTCAAGTGGCTCTGAAGAAAAAAGGTCTTGGTCCTGTACCTCCAAGTCTTCTGTTGGTCTGTCTTTGTTTAAAGGGTGACCAAGATATTTACTCACTGTTTCAGGGTCTTCAAGGGACTCGTCCAGCTCAGCGTAGGTCACAATGGTATACCCTTTGCAGACCCTCCACAACATTTTCTCAAATGCTTCAACTTTTCCTTGGTTAATAAGGCCAGACACAAACCTATGAGACGATAAAGACAACCTGTAGTCATCTGAAGGCACTGAGTATCCTCGACTGTCATTAAAAGAACGACAGACTTCCACTTCAGACAGCATGGTGACAATGTGCTGAGAGGCCTCCACCTACCAAACACCCAAAAATGCTGGACAAAATGTTTGAACCATCCTTGGAAGTGTACAGCTGAGCCTACAATAAAGGGAAAGCCTTAGGATTCAAAAATAAAACAGAACTTCGTAGCATTCCTAATGTGTTGAACTGGGTCAGTACCCTGAGGCCTTAGGGAGGCAGGAACCACAGCACGGGCCCATGTCAGGTGAGGAGATGAAAATGAACCCCCTGCAGTTGTGAACCCCCAAAGGGCTACACCTTCCATGGAGGTTGTTGCTGTTATGTGTCACCAAGTTGGTCCTGACTCACAGCTACCCCGTGTACAATGGAACGGGAGACAGCCCGGTCCCATGAGCCTCCCAATCACTGCTGCTATGTGACCCTGTGTACAACGGAACGAGAGACGGCCCGGTCCCATTCCAGCCTCCCAATCACTGCTGCTACGCGACCCTGTGTACAACGAAACGGGAGACGGCCCAGTCCCATGAGCCTCCCAATCACTGCTGCTATGTTTGAGCCCACTGTTGCAGCTACTGTATGAATCCATCTCACTGAGGGTCTTCATCTTTTTTGCTGACCCTGTGCCAAGCGTGATGTCCTTCTCCAGGGCTGGTCCCTCCTGACAATACATCCACAGAACGAAGGACCAAGCCTCGCCATCCTTGCTTCTAAAGAGCCCGCAGGCTGCACTTCTTCCAAGACAGATCTGTTCACTCTTCCGCAGTCCATGGTACATTCAGGGGACTCTGCCAACATCATAATTCAAATGCATCAATTCTTCTTCAGTCTTCTTTATTCATTGTCAAGCTTTCACACACACGTGAGGCAAATGAAAACACCATGGCTTTGGTCAAGCACATATCTTAGTTCTCAGGGAGACATCTTTGCCCTTTAACACTTTAAAGAGGTCTTTTGAAGCAGATCTACCCAATGCCATACGACATCCGATGTTCTGACCACTGCTGCTATGGGTGCTAATTGTGGATCCAAGTAAAATCCTACACAGCTTCAATATTTACTGTTTACAACAGTATTGCAGTCCAGTTGTGAGGAGTTTTGTTTTCGTTATGGTAAGGTGCCAACCATAAGGAAGGCTGCAGTCTCTGATCTTCATCAGTAAGGGCTTCAAGTCATCTTCATTTTTGGAAAGCAAGCCTGTGTCATCTGTGTATCACAGGCTCTTCCTCCAATTCTGTGACTTCACTGTTCTTCATACAGTGCACCTTCTCAGATTATCTGCTCACCATACAGACTGAGTAAGTATGGTGAAAAGATATAACCTATGAATGGGTGGACTGAAAAAAAGAAATCCACCTTGCTAAGAAGTCTACAAGTACATTTAATTCAATTTTGGTTCGAGATGAACGAGAAAAACCAGAATTCATGGGTTAGAATTCACTCGGGTTTGTGGCTTAAACTCATACTAGTTGCAGAGTCAAAAGATAAACAATCCAAAAAATAATCCAAGCAGACAAATGAATGTAAAATGATGCCCTCTTAGTAGAGCACTCCCAGGTAC